AAAAAAAAAAAAAAAAAAAAAAAAAAAGAAGAAAAACTTAAGGCTATTAGTGAGTGATTTGATTTCAGTCTGCTATAGGAGCTTTTTGAAATCATCCTTTTTGAGGGTATAAAAAATTAACCATCAATATGAGAAATGTATATTCTGCCATAAAATAAAGAGAATTGAGCAGAACCATTGATTGTCAGGAGTGTGTGTTCACATATTAGCATTTCCTCACACATAGATCATTTATTATAATCATAGTTATAATATTATTATAATGATCATAATTCATTGAGCTCTAACTGATAGATTGTAACATTTTTTGTAATGTAATTAAGTATATAAATAATATAAATAATAAAGCTACAGGGCTGTGTTCAATTTTTTTGTCTATACTATACAAATTGAATCTTGAAATTTGATGATCAAATATTTTAGTTCTTAAAAGGTAAACTCCTGAAAATTATTTGTGGGGATTTGATTACAAGTACTAACTAATGTAAGCCCATACTAGCATATAATTTATAGGGGTGCCTACCTGGCGACATCATTTATTACTGAATAACTGCTTAATAATGAGGGAATAAGATGAATTAAAGCAGGTTTGTAGTGGTTCGTCCTAAATTAAAGAGAATAAACACTGCACTTGCACTGCTTAAATTTAGTATTGGGCTCTAATTTTACATTTTTTAATTTGCAATTATTTAAAGTCATAAATGCTTAGGTGGTTAAATAAAAAATCATTTGGGGATTATGTTTTTCATGAGGGTAACTGTTGTGCAGTGAGATTGATGTAAATATATTGTGTTCCTACAATGTTCTTTACAAATGGTTACCTTAACTTTTAAATATAGTATGCAAACTATACTACATTTCTCTAAAATCTCAGGCAAATTTTTCATTATTTGCATGCCATACTATGACCTCAATGATATTACTACCGCAAAATGATTATATTAATAAATATATTTCATTATTCCTACTTTTAATCTTCATCTCTTCAGTAAATATTGCAGCATTTGACCAGAAGGTAAATACAGAGTTGTAAACTTAAAAAAAGGGCAGTGTTTGACTGGTTAAACCTTGGGCAATCCTTCACGTCACAAAAGTTGTACAAAAGTATGAATAGACCAAATTGTATTAAACATGGGTTGTTCCGTCTTCCAGCGCCCTGATTCCACCAGACGATAGCAACCTAGCTGACCCCTTTGTCCGCCTGTATCTGCTGCCAGACAGGCACCTGCACACCAAGAAGAAAACACAAGTCCACAAGTGCAACCTCAACCCCATATTTGATGAGACGTAAGTGAATATTGTCCTGTCTTTTATTTAATAAAATTGTGCACTCATTGTGGGCGAACAGACTCTAAGACCGCATTGAGATTCACACATCATGGTAGCTGGGTCAGTCCAATTTTGCCAGGGATTCTTGCTAGAGTGTATTAATTGGAATCTGCTTAATTGTCTGACATGCCTCCCCGAGCAGCTAGGGAGTAATTAACTATGGTGTGCTGATTAAGTTGATACCACTGATCAGTGTTAGAAATTAAAGCTGGACCGTCTGCCCGGGGCTGACAACTTTCAGAACGAGCTGAGAAGTTTTCCAACCCTGCAGACATTCAGTCTAGCTACTTTTCAAGTTGGTTGGACTTTCGGTCCAGCAACTAATTTTCCTAAGAGGCAAACACTGCCACTGATTGCACTTTAGCCAATTGGACCAACCCAGCTAGTACAATTAATGTGCCCCCAATAACTTTCAGATCAGTAGACTGTTACATGGTGCAGGTGAATTTTTCATCTTGATCATTTATAATCATATTAAGGTTCTCCCCAACCTTAACCCACCAAACTAACCGGTGGTTCTAAGTTCCAAAAAACAAAGGGCTGAATTTTTAATTTTACATTAAAGAAACCTTGGATTTTTTACTTTTATTACTGTATATTACAATTTAGTCTAGTTCTGATTTATATAATATATAACTTCTTTGTATTTTATGTTGTACAGTCTATTGAACATTTTATGGATTTTAGACTCAAAATAAATATATTATTATTATTATTGTTATTATTATTATTATTATTATTATTATTATTCCTTCATTTTAGGTTACTTTTGGTATCTGTTTGAACCTGCCTCATTTTAGGGTCACTAGGAGCATTTTCATAGATGTGAAAACCTGCTAAATTGTCAAAATCATTCCTCTTTTATTTCAGATTTGAATTTGCAGTCAACCAGAGAGACGCCCAGCAAAGGACGCTGGACATTGCGGTGAAGAACTCGGTGGGGGTGTTCTCTAAGGGAAAACATGACATGGGAAGAGTGTACATTGACCTTTCTGAACTGGATCTCAACAAAGCCACTACAGCTTGGTGAGTGATTAAAAAAAGAAATTGGATCTGAATAAACTTATCATTTTAGTTGACAGAGTTTTATTAGAACTTTTGTAGATGGGGATCATATCATTTTTTTTTTTATTTTACCACCTTAAATGTGTTATCTTAATCTTTAGTATTATGTGTTAATTTGCATTTTAATTAATATTAATTAACATTTCAGATCATTTCCATGTGCGTTTTAATAAGAAAATTATATTTTGAATTTTTTCATTTCCAGGTATAACCTTCAAGCCTACAACAAGTCTGGAAACAGATCCTTTAGAGAGTCCAAAGAAATCTAATAAACAGTCAAAATAGATTTAATGGTTCCAAATTAACTCATTCTTTGCGAAGAATATTAAAGTGAACTTCAGCGGCAATGCAAAAATGGCATGGAAGGAGAGCAATTAACTCACCATCAGGCAGCTGATCAAGAAGATAAGCCACCAATACAGAAAAATATTTCTGTTGCAGTCATATGGATAAGACTTGATGTAAACAGTGATGTGCAGAAGCTCTCTATTTTGCAATATAATAATTGTTAACTTCCTCAAAAGAAATTTATGTGATTGAGTTGCTAAGCAATGGATAAACAGAACTTTCTGTCATAGCTTTATTGTATGATCTAGTCTTCCAGCTGGGCCTTTCTAGGACAAAATCATTTAGATCAAATGACTTCCAAAGTGCCATGCATAGTGAAAGATAAGCAGTGTGAGCAAGTGGTAGCTGTGTATGTTTTACTGTTATCAATGCAATTTTTATGTGTTGTACATTGGTTGTATTTGTTATGACAAAAAACTTTGTTTAGACAGTATGGAATAGCAATGTTAAGTCAGATGATTGAAGGAAATTGTTGTTTTAAAGATAGTTAATGTGATAATGCATAATCTCTTCGCCTTCTTTTACATTTTTGCTCCTTTTGCACTTAAGCAATCAGACAGAGGTTGACAAGACAAAAAATG